CCCATGCAGTACCTCTGAGGACCCCCTAGGGGTCTTGGACCCCCTGTTGAAGACCTCTGGCCTAGAGATTAGAGCTCTCTGGGCACCTCACCATGGCAGCCCACTGCTCCCCAAGGGGAGGGGCTAAATACAGAGAGGGAATTTCTCCACTGTGGTAAATAAGGGGATTTATTTTTATTTTTTTTAATATATATATATATATATCTTCAGGGGATTTTGTTTTCCTGTTTACTTGTTGCCATTACCAACATGGCCACTATGTGTCAGCAACGTTCTGCCAGTGGGTCTGTGGTGTTCGTGTCCTGAGCTCCACTTACATCCTGCCTCTGAGTCTCTGCAGCAGGAGGTCTGCCTCCTGCACTAACTGGAACCGCAGCCGCTCCTGGAGATCCGGAAACACCCTGAGCGGCGTGTCGGAGAGCCGAACCCGAGCCAGACCTCCCATCTGCTCCCCGAGGTTCCCTAAAGACTCTGCCAGGGAGTCGCACTCCTGCAGGATGCTCCCCCACACCCCCTGCTGCTCCTGCAGAAGGAGGAAGCTCCTCCTGAGCGCCCCCTGCAGGGACATCTGTGCGAACCGCAGTGAGAGGTTACGGTCACTTCACGCGCCCACAGCAACAAACACTAAATGTCACAGATTTATTCAAATTACCTGAACTTTATTCACGCTCCGTCAGAGTTGAACCTTCATCAAATCCGAGGCTTCTACTTTCCTCCTTCCGACCACCTAAGCTAGCTGCGGCATGCTAAGCTAGCTGCGGCATGCTAAGCTAGCCCGGCTCCTCTGAAGCGTTTCCGGTCTGCTGATGTCAACAAGCAGCGGTGATGCCTTCACGTTGCCCGGAAAAGTGGAAAGTCTGCGATTTAACATCAATTTTTGTTCTTTTCTGATCAAACTTACATTTCTTTATTGTAGTATTTTTTTAAATGAAATGATTTAGGGCTTCAAAATCAACCTGAATTCATTCTAATAAAAGAAAAACGAAACAATAGTTGGCGTTGATAGTTACGCACTAATGCAGCATAAGGTTAACCAATAGAGAGAGGCGTTTCTGATCATGCGGGAAGACCGAACGTTTTGATTGGTCAATGTGATGCTTAAGCCCCTCCCACCACTGAGATTTGAAACGCGCATAGAAAGCAGACGGAGGGCGGCAGCGAAGCAGAAGAAACGTTAAAGTTCAGGTAATAATAAGCGGCGCCATGTTTAATAGTTAATGTTTGGATTAGATTTGTTTTTATCTCAGCTGTTGATCGATAATGAGTCTCAAACAGCATAGCTGCTGCCGTTAAATCCTCCATATTGGCCCCTGTGCTGCAGACATTTGGCCCCTGAGCTGCAGACATGGCTCCCACCAAGAGAACCACCAAGTTGCAGAGCAACAACCCGAAGAAAGCCAAGCTGGAGGCTTTTCTGGACGACTTTGACAGCGATGGTAGGTTTCCAGTTCAAGAAGCTAAACTAGGAAATGCATGTAGATAATCGATCCTAGATCAGAGAAGATTGAACATGTTTTTTTAATTCCTTCTACCTGTTAGTCAGAAAGTTACAGCAGCAGATTTTCCTCCTCAGGGAAAAATTAAAGATCATGTTGTTTTTAAAAAACTAACCTGGTTCTCAGATTAACCAGAATCCTGTCTGTTATGCAGCANCAGATTTTCCTCCTCAGGGAAAAATTAAAGATCATGTTGTTTTTAAAAAACTAACCTGGTTCTCAGATTAACCAGAATCCTGTCTGTTATGCAGCTCTAATATTTTTGTCTTTCTGCTCATTTTCCATCATATTTCCTTAATGATGATTAAAGGTGGAAAAACATTTTTAATCAGTTTTAATTTACAGAGTGAAATTAATTAATTGCTTTTTAACTGAAAACCAGATTTGACTAAATGATCAATAAAACCCTTTTAGAGTTAAACTGTTGACTAAATGAACAGATGAGAACAGAATCATATATTAATTGTTTTTTATGCGTTATTTAGGTTTTTATTGTGTAGTTTTGTTTAAAACTCAGATATTTTCTGATGTTTCTTCCAAACCTGCTTCTATAGAAGCCTGAATGTCAATTATGACATTTTATTTTTCACTGAATTTACTAAAGATTAGAAAGCAGCAAAGAATAAAATACTGCCTTTAATATTTGCTGTAAACAAGTTAGTTTCATTTCTACAACTGACAGCAGATCTATGACTGTAGATCTGTGCTTTAAGCTTTGCCTTTAGAACATCAGTTATTCAACATGTTGCATTTAATGCAATTAAACGGCAGTTATGGAAACAAACCATCCGAGCGTGTTGTTCAGACTCCCTACGGTGGCCCTGAAGGCTCATCTGGGCTGATGTGGGAACGTCTGAGCTGCTGCAGCCTGAATCGTCCCAGTGGACCTGAGCTGGTGATGCTGGTTGTGCTTCAGATTTTCAGGTGATGGAGGAACAGCGAGGACGCAGGTTCCCCGCTCAGACCTTTACCATTAAAAACTGCCATCATTTCCATTTTAACCATTTTAACGTGCCGCCACGGCTTCTTTAAGGGATGAACTACAGCAGCTGAGCCGCTTCCTCTGCTCCAGGCTGCTCTTCCTCCTCACATGCAGCTAAAAGCAGGAGAAAAGTAGCGCTGGTTTATCGGAGCGGGTGGGCGGAGCCGCGGTTTTTCTGACGCTTCTGTTTTTGCAGTGAAGACCCGGCTGGTCCAGATGAAGGAGAAACTCATCCAGCAGCTGAAGGACGTGGACAACAGCTACAACGTTGATCTGCTCAAGCTGCCCAAGGCGGTGAGGAAGATGCCGTGGATGGAGTTCTACAGTAAGTCCCGCCCACCTGAAGATGCTCCGTTTGAAGGACAGATGTAGAAATGTTAGCGACTAGAACTGCTTCCCTTTTAGACCAATGGGCTTTTCTGTTTCTGTCAGCTGACCTGGACAACCTGAAGGATCCAGAGGTAGATGATGCCAAGGTAAGCATGTTCTTCCTCTCTGCTTCTGGGCTGAATGTCTGGCTGCGTGTTCACCTGCAGCCGTGTCTCCTGAGCAGAGTGAAGAGGAGACGGCCACCATGGAGAACGTTCTGGAAAAGGCCACCGCCGTCCTCAAATCGGTGAAAAAAAGTCAGTCCACCAGCTCTGAGGTTCTGACCTGCTGATAAGTTCTTCTGCTGACTCTGTTCTGGTTCCACCTGCAGCCTCCAGGAAGAAAGGCGGCGCCAAGTCCAGCTCTGATGATGAGAACATTCTGAGCTCCTCCAGGAAGGTATGCAGAGAATCGGCAGGAAGCGGCGGCCTTTAAACAAACCGAGCGCCATTAACCCTTTCCTGTTTGGATCCAGGGCCGAGGAGCCAGAAAACCTCCGTCTACAACAAAGAGGACCAAAGCTGCGACCATCAGCAAACAGAGCACCACCATCAGAAGGTGAGCGCGGCGGAGGCTCCTCCCCTCCCCAGACGTCGCCTCTCAGAGCCACTGACCGTCCGTCTGTTTTCAGATCCAGCAGGAAACCTCTGGTGACGCCCGCCAGGAACCTACTGGACTCGTCTCTCTTGATGGGACCGACTCCTCTCATCACGCCACGCTTCGACCCCAGGTAAGGCTCACCTGGACAGGAAGTAGTCTGCTGTCTTCAGGCTGCCAACCTCTTTGCGTCTGTATCCTCAGACTCCCAAAGACCCCCGCCATCAGAGTCCCCCGCCACAAAGAGAGGGTCTACAGCATCTCTGTGAATGGCTCCCCCATCGCCGCAGGAAGCCAGGACATCATCATCAACGTCCCAGTGGGGAACGGAGAGGTGGGGGTCGACCAATCAGTAGAAAGTCTGTATAAAAATCAACGAGTTTAGTGAACGGAGCCTAAAGCATGGCAGCAGCTGGAGGGGGCGGAGCCTGTTTGTGTTGTTTCCCCCAGAAAATGTAGAAATTTACTTCCTGTATGTAGAGGTAGCATGCAGCTAACTTTAGTCTTTGTTCCATCACTACTTCAGTCCTGATGATGGAAGGAGGTGAGCTGGACCAGAGGTGGACATTTGATCAGGAAGACA